ACAAAACTTCCATTAAATTTTCACTAAAACGAGACTAGTTTTGACACAAACTACTCGGCACAGAGTCGCACTTCAAATGCATTTCCCTCGAGAAAAAATAATAAAGGAACCATCCACACTTAACACCACTGCACTGTGCTTGAACGCCCGCCTGCTGCACTGTGTGGCGGCCAGTGCCTCCCCCTCGTTCTCCCCGAGACCAGATGAAGGGCCCAGGCGCTGATGGCGTCCTTGTGCGCTCCTGGCCTCAAGGACAGTCCAGATCCAGGGGCTCGGTTCCCCTGACTGACAGGACGAAGGAAATGCAGCACAACGGCAGCAGCCCTGGGACAAGCCCATCAAGATTCTTGGGAGCTGAGAGCTCGTGGGGGGGTGGGGGGGAGCCGGGGCGGGACCAGCGGAGCTGGGGTGGGAGCTGGGGTTGGGGTTGCACGGGGAAGCCCAGGACTGGGAGCAGGTGAGCGGAGCTGGTGCTGAAGCACGAGCCTGGGACTGCGCAGAGGAACCTGCTGACCAGCAAGTGCCCGGCGCACGGAGTGCCAGGCGTCCCAAGCGCCTGCTGCCGGGCGGATGAACGGATGCACATGCTGCCTCCCAGCTTATTTCCATGCAGAGCATGACTGCTTTTCGGTGTATCACACCCTCCCACGCCTGTCGGGAGGCAGTGGGAGCCAGTTCAGACCTGGCTCTGGAAGGAGCCGGCATGCCTGGTGCTTCCTCTCTGGTCCCCAGGGTGCTTCCCACCCAGGGCAGGGGGTCTGTTTTGGAGGCCTGTCAGATCACTCCCGAAGGAAGTGTGGGGCCAAAGTCCCCTTCACAGCAAAGGTGCACTGAATGAGACACCGATTACTGCAATGGCGACAAGACAGAGCCTGTCCACCGACACTGCCCTGCGCCTCAGGCTTGCCTGTCACCTGCACCACCTCGCCTGCCGGTCTGGCTTTGCTCAGCCTCGAGCCGGCACTCCTTCTGGCAGCACTGGCGGTACTGGGTTCAAGACCGTGTCTCTATCCCTCTCCTGTGAGAAGAACTTCTGGAAGGCACAGGCTCACCTGGCTTGTCTTTGGATCCCCAGAGCTCAGCACAGGGCCCTCTGGAGTCCCTGCCACCCTTGCCTGCCCCCAACATGCATGTTGATGAGCATCCATAGGGATAATGGCGGGCAGTCCTCAGGATACTCCCGGAAACACCTGAAAAGAACTCAGGCAGTTTAACTTGGAGAAGCAAAATTCAGGGAGGGAACGACACTCCTCTTCAAGCACTGAGCCTGGACTAGAGAGCAGGAGACCCCTGCAGGATGGTAAGCTGCCTGTGGCAGGAAAACGAAGGAGCAGCCAGAACCCTCCCCAGCTCCCTGGGTGCGCGTGAGCCCCTGAAACTCGGCTCCTGCTGGAGGGAGGAGTTCTAGAATGTTGCCTTAAAATAACGCAGAGGTGGGCTAAGTGGGTGGGAGGAAGAGCGAGAGCAGGAAATACAAAAGGCACAGGCTGGGGGCAGAGCCAGGCTGGAGCAGCTGTCTCCGTTCTCGGGGACGCCCCCACGAGGCCCCCGTCACCAGCCAGGGGTGGTACTTCACCACAGCAGAAACCACAGCGATGCCTGTCCGAGGAGCTGGGAACATGTGAGAACCTCAGAGCTTGCAACCAGCCAGCCCCAACCACACAAACTGCAAGAACCAAAGTGAATCAACAAAGCAACGAAACCAAAGCCAAGGGCAACGCAAGTGCATGATGCGGGCGTGGTGGGCAGGTCTGTTCCCATCCCCAGGGGAATCGGGGACCAGCTTCCCTATATCCTCAAACCAGGACTCCTGCTCAGCAGGCCTCCCCTGGGGAATGGGGCCCCGGATGTGGCCCCGAGGCGAGGCCCACTGTCAACACCCATGACTGCCCTCCTGACACCACCAGCTCTCATGCTGATGCCAAGCCCCAGGTTGCTGTCTGTCGTCTGAGGCAGGATCCACTCCCGTCCATCTGTCCGTCCACAGCACTTGCCCAGAAGGACTTGCACGGCCTGCACCTGGCTGAGCTGCGTGATGCGAGCGCAGGCAGCGGAGGGAGAGCAGCGCTCTGCTCCTGGCCCCTGTGGCCAGACCGGCTCCCGCCGTCCTGAGTGCCGCTGTGAGGCAGGAAAGGCGCCGGGGCTGCTGGAGACCAGTGACCTCAGACCAGTTCCGACTGCGCGAGCTTTCTGGCCTGCGGGTTGCCGTGCTGCTGACACACCACGCTCTGTGGATTGTCACTTGGGCTGGGGGCTGTCCCTCGAAGGGGCGCACCAAAGGCCGCCTGACACAGCTGCTGCACTGAACTCAATGGCTGCCAGGGTGCCCAGTCACCCTCTCAGGGAGTCACGGGGGGGGGCGGGGGGCGGGGAGGGGTGGAGGGTGGGGTGCCCCCGGGCACAGTCAGGACACCTATGAGCCGAGCCATGCACTTCTCACCACGTCCTTCAAGAGCAGCCACCGCTCCCCATGGAAAGACCTCATGGCAAATTACCAATTCCTACCCAAGCCAAGTAAAGTCCCCAAGAAGCAAAGTTCCAAGCTCTCCGACCCAGGCCCCTCCTCCTCAGGTCTGTGCTGGCCCAGGACACAGTGCCATGCAGGCTGGCCTCCGCGCCCACCGGCCGAGCGGGAGCTGCCAGGACAGCACTGCCAGCAGCAGTGTCCACCGCGGCAGCCGCGTGCTCAGAGGCGCACAGGAAGCCCCTTTTCCTGCCGTGGCTCTCCAGGCTTCCGGGAACCTGCGCTGCAGAAGGCCCACCACTGCTTCCTTTGTGGCAGGCGCGGTTCCTCCGTTCTCTGCACGCGCCTCCGGTGCAGCCGGAAGCCCGAGAGCTGGGCACACGCGGAGCCGCGCCTGGTCCTGGCCTGCCTGGTCCTGCGAGGGAAGCGGCGTGTCTGGAACAGTCACCTTCCTTTCCGGACCAGGACACCGCCCTGCTTGTCGGGCATCAAACCAGCAGCTCCGGCCGGCCACGTACCTCCACGCCCCTCGGGTCCCAGGGAGTGGAGGAGGGGAACACGGGGCCTTGTCTTTGCTGCTTAAACAACGTTCAAGCACTCCAGAACATTCCTTTACAAACCCGTGTATGCAGAATAAAAATGCCATCTCCTGAGAACGCAGAATCTAGAGGGAGGGCCTGGCCCCTCAGCGAGGGATGAAGTTCATGTTGAACCTCAGTAAAGGTAACACCTACGCTGCCACTAAAATCAAGTCACCGTCAATGAGGAATAAAGCCTTTGCATGCGACCACCTCAGACGTCTGACTCCTGTGGTGACCACGGGGCTTACCCCCACTTCTCACTGACCAGTGTACCAGAACGCAGGGCAGCGAGGATAAAAGAGGAGCTGCCAACGACACGGCTTCTTTCTGCATAAAGAGCGGCCACTTCATCAGGGCACGTGGTGAACGCATCTCGCTAAGGCCTCGCCGAGTTCCCCTCGCCCTGGAGGAAACAATTGGCGGCGGTGGCGGTGGCAAGACTGAAGAACAGGCGCAGCCCCCGCCCCGTGCGCAGAGCGGAGCTCCACATCTCCACCCTCTGCCCCCCTGCGGGCCGCACAGAGCTGGCAGAGAACCTGCTGAGGGCCAGGGCTGGACACGGAAGTGACAGGCCCCAGAAGGAGGAGGAGGGGACTACTGACTCACTAGCGAAGGTCTGCAAGGTTTCAGTGAGGTGCTGTGACGTGCTCCGCACTTACGTCCAAGGGCACTCAGCCCTGCCCCCCGTTCTCCTAGCTCCGGTGGCCCCTAGGCCTGGGCCCCTGCTCCCTGCAGGCTGAGCCCCCTCTCCCAGTCTCTCCAGGGGGAGTCCAAGCCTGTGCTGCTGGCCCGCCCGCCAGGCCTCCCACCACCTGCCCCCACGCAGGGCGGCAGCGCGTTCTCTCTGCTGCTCCTGCCAGAAGCTGTGTGGTCGCCTTTGGCTTCTTCTCACTCACCCGCCTCCACCCCAGAGCAAATGCATTTGACTCGTTTCAAAACATCCAGAACAGCCACCATCTCACCAGCAGCATCTCTTGCCTCATCACCGCCAGCCGCCTCCCAGCGTCCCTGGCCGCTCCTGGCCGCCAGCACCGCGCCCTGAAGGCCTGAGGCTGCGCGCTCTTCTCTGGGAAGTCCCAGCAGCTCCCGTCAGAGTAAGGCCCGTATCTGCAATGACCTTCAGGGCCCTGGTGGAGTTTGCCTGCATCTCCCTTCACTCGGCTCCAACACACGGCGCACTCTGGCCTCAGCCCCTGCAGGTGCCTCCCCGGCAGCCCAGGCCCTGCTCAAGCACTGAGCCCCCACCCACAGCCCTGAGCACAGCGCCTGCTGGAACCAGGACCCCGGAGGCCTTGCCCAGCGCCCATTTTTCACAGCGTTGATACGGCTCCGCCCCAGGTACCTTCCTGGTCGCTGTGGACTGCCATGCTTTAGAACACACCTTTATGAGACGAGGGGTCTGTTTTGCTCACGGACGTGTCCCTAACACATTGGAACAGTGTCCTGCTGTGGCAGACAAGAGTGTTTGTGACTTGAGTGTCCAGACTTTCCTCCTGTGACCAACAAACCCAGAACCCAAACAGCACACCCATCGATGTGACAACTTCCCTGTGAGAGCAAAGTGTCAAACTGACTGATGAGTCATCAGCTCAAAGGACCAGGGAGGTGCTGGGAAAAGCTGTCGGTTGAATTCATGGAATGAACCATGAAAAACGAGAGGAAAGGGACGTACTTCACAGAGGAAATCCAGACCCGCCAGACCCGCACTGCAGCTCACAGGAGTGCCGGCTCCTGAGGCGGAGGCGGGGCCGGGGAGGCAGCCGCTCCGACTCCCTGGCTCCTCAGCCGCCGGAGGGAGGGAGGGCCGTCTTCTCCCTTCACCGCCTTCAGGACCCTCTTAGGACAAAGGCCTCCCACACTCGCCAACTGCTTTTGTTCGACTTGCTGGTGAAGCAAAAACACTCAGTCACTGCCTTCACCGAGTCTTAAATACAGTACTAGGACACAATGCGAGGTTTTACTGAGAAAAAGTGAATGTTTAATTATCTTGTGAATCTACTTAGAAAAACACACAAGCAAAGTTCACAACTATAAATTTAAACCTTTTGCACTAAAAAACACACGAACAACAAACACAAAACCACAGGCATGAACTGTAAACCTGTACTAATTACCAACTAGTCTTAAGGTTAATTCTTAGTAGTTCAGTATTTCCTCCTTGGCAAGTGTAACAGCTGTAGCACCAATGACCTCCCACAGAGCTGCTGGGACGGGCGGCCAGGCAGGGAGATGCTCCGTACGCACCCCCCGCACGCGCGGCCCACTCGCACCCACAGGAGGCACGTGGAGATGGAGGTCACACGCTGACCCTCAGGGCAATGGAAAGAAGACAGAGGGCACACGTGTCACACAGCTTTAATGTAGTGCATTCGTAGAAAAGAGGCCAGCTTTCGCTCCCAGGCGTGCTCTCGTCCTTATAGTTTAATACCATGATTTAGAAGATGCAGACGTTATTGCCTAAATATTATTCTATACATTTCCACCAGCGCCCAGGAACTTCAGGCCGCTGCTCTATTACACCATCGTTCCCGGTTACAGCTTTAGCTCATTGGCAATCTTGGAAGCAATGTTTTTGAAAGCGATGGACGTCCCTGATATCCGCTTGAACCGCACCCCGTTCAGAGACAGTCTTGGCAGCTTGCACACCTCCATCTCCCACTGCACGAGGCTCTCCGCGTGCCCGTCGCCGTGGACACAGAAGAGGAGGAAGCGCTCTCTCTGCTCGTAGTCGCAGTTGTTGGCGTCCAGCACTTTGCGGATCTCCCGCATCATGTCGCTGGGGTCCATGGAACTAGTGGTTTTCATGCTCCAGGTGAAGCGCAGGGAGCGAGGTTTTGCTTCTTTGTTTTCATCCTTTTGCTCAGCAGAGACGTTGCGACTGAAACGCACAGCGGCAGGTTTATTTTCATTTGCACGGGACAGCCGGCCCTCTACTCTAGCTAGCGCACAACCAGCTCCAGCACAGCGCGGAGCCGGGCCGTTTTCCTGCACAGGCCCACACGTTGTTATCTGTTTCTTTTCTAAGAAATAACCATCTATTTGCTTCCCCCTAAAGTCACAGGCCACACATGCAGAAAATCTACCTGACTGTAAGACCTTCACCCAGTCATGTACTTACTAAAATTAAGAAAATAGTTAAATCAGGCAAAGTGGAGAGAGAGCTGCCCACATGTCCAAGAGCCCAGCTCTGCCCCAGGCTGAGCACAGGCGGCAAGGAGCCCTCAGCCCCTCACAGAGGCCCTGCTCGGCTCCTGTGACGCTCCTCACTCACACAGCCCCCGCCGGCACTGTGACGGGATAACCGGCGACTCAGCAGTTCAACCTGCTTTCCCTGCCCCCAGCCCCACAGGCTGAGCACATAGCTGTGTGGGAGCAGGCGGGGGGGGGGGGGGGGCACTCTCTCAATCCCCTGCACCCACCTCCATTATTTTTTTTTTACTTTAATTTAAATATTTAGTTTCAGTTAAAAAAAAAATTCTTACATGACATTATCTTGCTAGTGCAATAAAAAAAAAAGTGTTAAGGCTTATTTGTTGCTGAGCAAAAGTGACCTGTTTGAATGCAAACTATGGACTCAAAGTTCAAGCCGAAGTCCCCACATCCATAGACGTCACAGTGGGGCCCAGCCAGGGTTCTCTTGCAACCCCAAGAACAGGCCTCCTACTGCCTTACTGTTAATTATGGACACAAACTGCCACTTACAGTCTCCTTCGTGTGCACCTGGAGGCCTCGATTAGGATGGTGAACACCTAACACTCGTGCGCATTAAACACACCCAGCGTAACATGTTAAATACACTTAATCTTAGGGCAAAGTCGTTAGCAGTGCTGAGGGTAGGCCACAGGTTTTACTGTGCATTCAGTTCCCTGGTGCTGACCTGCTGATAGGCCATTCCGCTGGATTCACATCCACCAAAGCCGACTGGAAGCTTCCTATGTATAAAATTCTGTTGGGCACTGAATAGGCCATAAAAAGGAGCAAGAGCTCTCAGACGCAGTCGGGGTGTGGGAGGAGGACTGCCCCTGAGGAACAGCAGTGACCAGAGGGTCCCAGAGCCAGGCAGGCCCACCTCCTGGCAGGAGCCAGGGGAGGAGGAACCGCTCCTGGAGGGGCTTCTGGGGAGGACTCTGAGGAGTCCGGGTCCCACACCACCCCGGGGGCGGGAAAGCATCTCCATGTGCGAGCACAGGGAGTGTCAGCAGAGGCACAGGGCGGACATGGGCAAGTGTGCCAACAGACGGACTGCGCAGTGTACGCACTCTGTTGTCACACACCAGGAGGCAGGTCCTGTGACTCCCTTCCTATCATGGAGGGGAACAAGCTCAGGACAGCTAGAGCCTGCGCCAGGCTACAGTGGGCAGGCCTGGGGCATACTGCTGCCCGGCTCTCACCCCAACAAGCTGCCTCAACTGAGGCAGGCTGCTGAGATGCTACAGGGCCTCGCATGGACATGGTCGGCCAGGCAATGGGCCACTGCAGGTTTTCATTCAGAAAAGTCCTATGACAGAGCTGTGCTTTAGAGAGACCAGGGAGAGAGCCAATGGGTGTCAATAGGACCTGAGTAGCACGTGGCAACCACTGTAAAGGGCACAGGGAGGGACCAACCACGGAGACGGAGTCCTGAGCCTCACTGGTGACTCTTTTGTCCCCAATCTGAGCAATGACAGCTACACCAGATTTTAAAGCAAAACACTCGCCTGGCTGGCATGGCTCAGTGGTTAAGCATTGATCTATAAATCAGGAAGTCATGGTTCAATTCCTGGTCAGGGCACATGCTCAGAATGCAGGCCTGATCCCCAGTATGAGGCGTGCAAGGGGCAGCCAATTGGTGATTCTCTCATCATTGATGTTTCTACCTCTCTCCCCCTCTCCCTTCCTCTCTGAAATCAATAAAAATACATTAAAAAATAAAATACTTGAAAACATAATCACTGTTCTAAAAATCTAATTTTCCCTAGCTGGTTTAGTTCAGTGGATAGAGTGTCAGCCTGTGGACTGAAGGGTCCTGGGTTTGATTCCAGTCAAGGGCACATCCCAGGTTGCGGGCTTGATTCCTGGTAGGGAGCGTGCAGGAGGCAGCCAATGATTCTCTCTCATCATTGATGTTTCTCTCTCTCCCTCTCCCTTCCTCTCTGAAAGCAATAAAAATATATTCAAAAACCTAATTTGAAATTTCTACTCACTGCTTTCATGTTTGAGACTAGATCTATGCTAGGAGTCACTGAGATATCTGGAGTGCTCCCACCAAACCCAGACCTAAGTTCCTGTTGTTAGGGCCCAGACAGTGGCACCCTGGCGCCCTCCTGTGGTCCTGGGGTGTAGCACACCTCTGGCCCAGGCCCACCGCCAGGGGGCAGCAGCGGCACTGCCTCTTCCCAACCACAGAACCCAGACCCACCAAACCCACAGGACAGCAGAAGAGCATCACCGCAGCCACAGTTTTTAACATAAAATATATTTAAAAAATCATTTCCCTCACCTGGAGCCCTCATATCTCCCGTTCCTCTCATATTCGGTCGGAAGCCTGAATGAGCAGGACGCAGAAGCAGAGAAGTGGAAGAGAGAAAAGAGGTCTTACACAGCAGCACACGAAGCCCGGTGCAAACCAAGAAACCCAAGTCACGGGTGAGCTTAGGTCTCTCTCTCATGGTGGCCCAGACAGCGCTCCGCCTCTCCAGGTGTCCGCAGGCCGAGCAGGTGGTGGGATGCACACTGGCTTCCCAGACCCGGCAGGTGCCCTGCCCAGCCCTGGCAGCAGAGCACTCGTGGCCTTCGACTGGAGGTACGCTGGCCTTTTAAATAACTCCCCGAAGTGTAATGGCTTTCTATGAAAGGGAACTGGATTTATCAGCTGAATTCTACATTCAAGCAGATAATTGTCTTTCCAAGAAAAACCTGGAAACTAGGAAGATCAACTCAAAGCCACCACCAAGTGGCATTTCCCTCAGGAAGAAGGTGGTCTTCCCAGTTTTTGGTAAAGACTCATGTTAACCAAGCCTCTCAGAGGCCCACTGGTTTCACTGAGTGAGAAACAGTAGTCAGCCTTCCAGGGAGCTGAGAGGCACAGGCACAGGGTGGCCTCCATGGCAGACTTTCTGCCTCAGGTGTGTGCATTCCAAGGTAGTGAGCAACATTTTTGGTCTCTTGACTGTCAGCATCAAAAAATAGTCATCTCATCCTAGCCAGTTTGGCTCGCCCTCGGACTGAGGGTCCTGGGTTCGATTCTGATCAAGGGCAGGTACCTCAGTTGTAGGGCTTGATCCTCGGCACTGGCTGGATCATGCACAGGAGGCAACCAACTGATGTGTCTTTCTCACAATTGATCTTTCTCTCTCTCCCCCTTCCTCTCTCTCTAATATTAATAAACAACCTCCAGTAAGGATTAAAAAAAAAAAGTCTTCTGGTAGGAACAGCATACATTACAGTGCTTCAATTAAAAACAAGACATGCTTGCCCTAGCTGGTTTGGCTGAGTGGATAGAGTGTCGGCCTGTGGACCAAAGGGTCCTGGGTTCGAGTTCGGTCAGGGGCACATGTCTGGGGTTGTGGGCTCAATCCCCAGTGGGAAGAGTGCAGAAGGCAGCCAATCAGTGATTCTCTCTCATTATTGATGATTCTATCTCTCTTCCTCTCCCTTCTCTGAAATCAATAAAAATATATATTAAGATAAAAAAAAAAAATAAAAACAAGACATGCTTGCATGGTGGGCATGGACAGTGGTTGAGCATTGACCTACGAACCAGGAGGTCACAGTTGGACTCCAGGCTGAGACCTATGCCCGAGTTGCAGCTCAATCCCCAGTGTGGGGCATAGAGGAGGCAGCCAACCAATGATTCTCTCTCATTATTGATGCTTCTCTCTCTCCCTCTTTCTCCCTTCCTCTTTGAAATCAATAAAAATATTTTTTTAAAGACCCACGAAAAACAAGATACGCTTTCTTCAGTGGTTGGTGGAAAGTGGCTTTTAATAAAATACTATTTGCTCTTCACTCTGAAAATATTACGACATTTCTGCTATGCAGCGCCCCAAGCCTAACAGGCTATAAAGTGTGAGCTTCAGACTTGTCTCTCATTCCAGAATATGAGCTAATTTCCCTCTCACTCTAGAGCCTTTTGCTAATTGAATCCTCTATGAAATGAAAAATGATGACACACAATCACAACTTACCTCTGCCCGCTTGAGGCTGCCCATGAAATGTACACTAATGTTACTGCACATCTCATTCCTCAGACAGAAGCATGCTGAGTGTTATTAGTATGAAGACAGAATTATTCGGATGCTAAATAATTCTACTGAAGAAAGAAAATGCACAGAGCATGCGTAGGCCTCTTGTTATGTGGGTGCCGCAGTCCCTTTCAAAATGCCTGAAAGAGTTAATCTATTTCTTCCCCCAGTTTCCTTTCAAGGAAATAAGTATTTAGTTCTCAGCAGAAAGTTTAGTTAAAAAAATAAAACAAAAAACAAACAGGGCTAAAAAGCCAAACCTGGTGTTAATTGCAGGAACCATTTTGGGGTGAGGATTGAAAAAAAAAAAGTATATATATAAATCCTACCTTTTGATAAACCTGAATGACATGTTTCTAAAAGAAATTAAGCCAAAAATAAAAATTAACAAAAATGACTTGTACAAATGAAATATAAATTCAGTCAATTATAAAGAGAAAGAAAAACAACAAATAAAAAAGGCTCCTTTTCTGTCCAATGAACAATGAAACAGTGATGTGTGTTGAAAAACTAAAATTATTACAGATAATTGAGGATGTGATCTTTTAATTATAAACATTTAAAAATCTATACTTGTAAGCAAAAACTCAGCATTGACACTGACATCAGCTGTAATGAGTTTAAGGCTCTTCACATGGCTCTATGTTAAGACAATAAAGTCAACATCTTGTCTGAAATAAATGACTTAAGTCATTTGCAATAAACTAGTAATAAAACATTTTTCAATTTTCTTCAGAATATCTTATGAACAAAAATTTCACGTTCTTATACAGAAACATTAAAAATTTCATTATAAAATGTTTAACCATTAAGAGAATCATTGCTTACTTCAGGAAGGTAATTTAAACATTAACAGTAGTTATAAATTACTTTTTAAGAAAAAGTAACTTATTAGGGTATGAATGGAAATTTCATGACTGTATAACAATGGGTGATTCATTTTTATGTTTTAGGAATAAACTCAAAGAGCCCAATTTAAAAAAAGTGACTCTGCTTGTAAAACATTTTAGGAAGATGCTTAGGCTGAGAGGAACAGAAGCTGACCAAAGAAACTTGAAATTGCTGGTCAGGCTGGTCTGACCACGCGCTCAGCCTTCCTGGGCAAGAGTGGCCTGGGCTTGTCAAACGACTTGGAAAGCCCATGGCTGCGACTGAGCACAGGAGGCACGGGGATGTGTCTGCCGCTGGGCTGATGGAATGGATCCGTGTTTTGTTTTGTTTTTCTAATCTGGGGTGATGTTGGCAGTGCTTGAGACATTGACCCATTTAAAAATATCTAACTACTGTAGGTACTACGACCAAGCACTTCATAACCAGATCAGAAGGGGTACACAGCAAGTAGAGAAGATCATGCATTGAAAAGATTTTGTAAATATTTAAGCACTACATGAAGGCAGTATTATTCAACAATTTGTTTTAGTTGAAAACTGATTAAAAGGTCTTTAAAATGTATTTTCATTCCTGAGTTTTCTACCTGAGGAAAGTCAGGGTTATTGGTCAAGGACCTAGGACTGCTTTTCTAATTTTTCCTCCCACGGATCCCTTGAGGTAGAGAGAGCAGGAGGTTGCAGGCCTGAGGCCTCACCTCACTCCTGCTGAGTGCACAGGGCCTCAGAGGTGGCAGGGCCCACAGCTCGTCCAAACTACAGGGCATCTGGGCAGAGCTGGGCGTACGTTTCCTGAGGCCTGCTCTCTGCCCACTGCACCAGGGCAGGTCTCCTGTGCAGATTCTAAGTGCCAACCCGAGCCTTTCAGGGACTGAACACAGCTGCAGCTGTTAGGGGAGGCCCAGATGCTGAGAAGACTACAGCAGAAGGACCGACTGTCTTTACGAATAAACTGACTACATCTGAAGGAGAGCACCAAGGAGACTCCAGACCTCAGCCTGCAAACTTGAAAACAGAAGACGATGACCTTTCTGGAAAACGTGGGGGTGGAAACTAAAACAAGATGACCCCTTGGAATTTTTAAACAAGAAACCTCAACCTCCAAGTTCAATTCAGATACAATGAAATAAACTTAGAATCTTAAACATGTGTCCCATCTCTCTCAACCACATCTCCAGTTTCTTCTATAAAATTGAGTGATATCTACTTCACAGGGTAGACTGTGGAGATTGATGAGTGTGTGTGTGTTTATATATGTAAAATGAGTATAGCTATACCTGAAATTCTACAGACATCTACTTATCTTAGTGCACAGAAAGCAGTCAAAAATTTTTATCAATGATAGTACATGTATTAAGATGATTTTTATTTTTTTTAAATTATCTTTTTATTGATTCAGAGGGGAAGGAAGAGGGAGATAAAAACATCAATGACGAGAGAGAATCATCAATCAGTTTGCCTCCTGCACGCCCCCCACTGGGATGGAGCCCGCAACCCGGGCCCGGATCGGGAATTGAACCGAGACCTCCTGGTTCATAGGTCGCTGCTCAACCCCTGAGCCACGCCAGCTGGGCTTAAGATGATTTTTTAAAACAAAGCACAAAGGAAACAAATAAATTCAAGGATTTTAATGATGGGCCCACAACAGACCAAAGTGCAGGGCCACTACATTGACCGCTATGACTAGTGCTTAGCTAGACCTGACTGCTGGACCTCCATTCTGTGCTCAAAGGGCAACCCACCAGGTGACAGCAGGCAGCAGGGCCAGGGAGGGAAACAGCCAAGGGAATGACACCCAGCTCCATCTCCTACCACCCACGTTTCAGCGGCCGATTCCATTTCAGCCCAGTCCCCAGGAGGGAGCGGGGGACAGGGAGGCCTGGGGTGACACTGAAGGGGAGTAGTGAATTATTTTGGGGGGTTCAAAAAACTCTTCCTGGATTGGACTTCAAACCTGGCAAGACCCTTTAGACCATCTGCTCTCTGCCCAGCCTGGAGCACAGAGTCTCAGCAAAGGGGCCAGAAGAGAGTGAGAGGCAAGCGGGAACCTCTGACTGCTCTGGCCCTAGTCAGTGCTCTTGACGTCAGAAGTCCTCCCTCATCTGGTACTCAGTAACAAACAGATCATCTGGGGAATAGTTTAAAGTGACTCGTCTAACTTTTAGATGATTGATCTAAAATAAAACTATGGGAGGAATCAAGGAGACTTAAAAAGTGGTACTTAACTTACAGTTTAAATACAAAGGCCCCATGAAACTGAGCAGCAAGCTAATGGGCCAGAGGGAGTGAGGCACAGAGGAGGCACCAACCATTCTGGACCCTGAGAAGATGCACTGCTGTGCTGAGCAGACAGATGAACAGGAGGGTCGGAAGCAGGTGAGCCTGCAGGACACCCGGGCACACGAGTGCACAGCGAGGCGGCTCAGCTTCCTGGGCGTCCTGGACATGCAGGGCTCTCAGGCGTCCTGGGGAGGTCCTGGCTAACGGTGCCTTTGTCTATTTGCTGCTGGTACGAAGCGGCATCTTTCCCTTTTCCTCTAGTAGCAGCCAATGTTTCTAGGCATCTGCAACCTCTACAGCTCGATTATGGACACAAGTTAAAATACCTCAAGGGATCCACAGACATGTCCCAGGGCCCGGAATGACAGCCTGCTGAACACATGAAGAATTTCATACACGACCAGATACTAGTTTCCTTCTGAGCACAAACCAGAGATGTTATTCGCATAACTGCACCATTTCAGAAAGGTGCCTTGTTCTTACTATAATTCACTGAGACCAACAGAGAGCACAGCTGCAAGACTCAGACTTTAAGACACTTAGTGTTCCTCAGTGACAACGAAGTGCAAGGAGAAGAGGAACTGTGTCCTTGGTGACCGCGCACAGCGTGCCAGCCCTGCCAACCCTGGTCTGGGGTTCTGTTCCACCAAGGTGACCATCTATGCAGACAAAGGTGCCATGCAGCCCGGCCGGTTGGTTGAGCATTGACCTATGAACCAGGTCACAGTTCGATCCCCAGGTTACGGGCTCGATCCCCAGTGTGGGGTGTGCAAGAGCAGGCAATTGATGATTCTCTCTCATCATTGATGTTTCTATCTCTCCCTCCCTCTCTCTGAAATCAGTAAAAACATCTATTTTTTAAAAAGTGTGATGCAAGGAACAGTAAGGAGCCACGACCTCCCAAGTGCTGGGAAACGTTTCCTGGGATTCTCTTCTAAAACCTTTCAGTCTAGTTAAAGAAAGAAACCAGAAAAACATGAGCTAAAGACAAATGAACAGCAGCCAGGCTGGCTTCACACGCACAGAAGACATGTCTCCTCTTGCTGCAAACAATCAGCTCCACCTGGCACTTACCTCCTTGTGAGTTTTGAGGTTAATTTACTGAAAAGATTAGCGGAGCCTCGGCTTCGAGCCTGTGACAATGGCGTGGCTTCGTGGGACAGGCTGGGCGAGGCGGGCGGGCCGTTATAGGTGGCAGTCCGCCGCTCGCGGGGCTGGCCGTGGAACGTGCTGCGACTGGCAGTGCCCCTGGGGAAGCGGACGCGATCCGGGGTGGCCGCGCTGCTGATGCTGTGTGTGGAAGCACCTGGGGCTCTCTGGTCAGGAACAGTGCTAGAAGATGAGGAAGCACAGAGCTTTACATTTCGTTCACCAAATCCTGTCTTTGTGGCAAACATGGCACACAAACATTCAGTCACAATATACCTTTTATCTAAAGTGGAGAGAACCAGCTTTAACAAAACAAGACCCCAGGGGTGTTTCACAGGACTGAGAAGCAAAAGTAAGTTAAATGGGAAAGGGGACCTGAGGAATCATATGTAATGGAACAAAGCCTTGTGGAGTTTAAGGGAACAGCAAACATATTTCCAGGACAAGATAATGCGGGGAAATTCTAGGACATAGCATGGCTTGAAACTCAAGCGTTCTTCCTTTGCTTCCCCCTCAAATTGCTCCCATGCAGAGACCCGTGCCCACATGGAAGAAAGAAAGGCTATGCCGGTGAAATTGAAGAACAAGCAACTGAAAAGTTTTGGAAGCACACGATGGCATAGCTGTTGTGACACTCCACACGCTGAACGAGACCTGGAGAAAGGGGTCCTCCCCAATCTGTAGGATGCAAAAGCAAGAAGACACACCGACAACCGAGGCCACCATAAGACAGGATGTGCGGGACTAGCACACACTCAGGAAGAACACTGTGGACAACTGTGACGAGCTTGGGCTATGAAATCCACAGCGCAAGTTAGGAAGCCGCGGGGACACGTTGGTGCCGTGAGGAAGGCGCATTTTCCTTACACAGCCTGGACGTTATCTCCTTCACTGTCTAGTGGAGGTAACAGCATCTTGGGGGGCCCTGAGGGGCATGGACATCGACTTCTGATGTCTCGGCCGCCAGGTGGGAGGTGTGGTGCAGGTGAGGCGGGGCTAGCTGCGTAAGCGAACGTTTCTGTCAGGCTGGGAGGGGTTGGGGTTTGGGCAGAGGCAGAAACAACGATGTGATGGACCAGCGACAAAGAGCAATCTGTGGTTTAAAGCACAGCTTCCTCCCCAACCATCTCAGAACAAAATCTCTTAAACTAGTTCCGGGGACTCCGGAGCACCTCCTAACGTGTAGCTCCCCCCCCCCCCCAAAATGTAATTTTAAAAGTGTATTCGCTTTAAAGAAAAGAAGACATCTTCCAGGTTCGGGTCCTTATGCCAGAGGGACAATGTCTTCTGAGCTGTGTGTGGCAGCCCGCTCTACGGAGAGCCCACGTGGTCAGATCCATGCCGAGCACAGGCCACTGCTCCCCGCCTGTTCCAGAGGTGAGAAGCTTCCTACTCACTGGACACTCACTTCTTCATAAACAAGGCAAAATCCCTAAGGGGTCAAGGGGCCCCTTTTTCCAGGTGGAACTAATGAGCAGATGAGCTGTGTACAGAGAGAGGCAGAGTGGCTTCCTGCCCGCAGTTGCCCTGGCACACGCTGCGGGACAGAACCATGACCTCACTTCATTCCAGCGCCAGCGTGTCCTTGGAACAGCCGAGGCGGTTTCTTTCCTTTAAGGAGAGTCGGATGTAGAACTCCGGCCATACTTTCAGTGTCTTTCGGCAGAAATCCCTCCGGGTCCTCAAGTCCTGGAGCCACCCGTTCTATCCCTCCTGCCCTACCACCTAGAGCAGCGGTGCTGTCCTGTGGGTGTCAACCCCTAACAGTGCTTCAGCCAGCCCACCCACTTCTCCCATCTCCTCACAGGCAGGGCCCATCCTGTCTTCACTGGTCCCCCGGCCTTCACCCACACGCCCTCCAATGTGTCCACCAGTGAGCTGTCTAATATATAAACCCGACTTTTTCACTCATAACCTTTCAAAAGCAGTGTTCAGGATGAAGTTCAAACTCCTCACCTGGCACCCAGGTAGCATCCTAGGCACCCAGAGCCTGGCCCCTGCCCTCTCTCCAGGCTTTACCTTCTACGTCACCTCCCAGAGCTTGGCCAGCAGAGAACCGCGGCTCGTGCAGGGGCTAAGTGCTCTCCTGACGGGAAAGGAAGGTCAGTGAAATGAGCACTAGAATTGTGGCAGTCCCACTAGGAGGACTACCAATAATAAATTGCTCAATAAGACCTTCTTGTCCCTGAATTTTTGAGAATTTTGCCCTCTGACTTGGGAGAGTGGCTCTACCATAGTCATAGACATACTGGAAACAAATGCCACAGAAACATAAAAATAGATCCGGTTTTGTGTTTTTGCCACTCTGCACTCCCGTTCCCTATGACAAAGAAACACGTGAATCCTGCTTTAGGGGGAAGGTTCCTGGGCCCCAGATGTTGCTGACTCCACCCCACAACAAGTTGTGTCCGGCAGTGACAGGCCTAAAGAGTCAGACCAACAGGGATGGAGGAGACACCCAGGCTTCCTGGGTGTGGGAAGACAGTAAGTCTGATCCTACTGGGCCCAACCAGGGACCCAGGACAGAACGAGGAGCTGCACCAACTGTCCCTGCGCTTTCTAGTTGTAGGCAGAGATGACCTGTTTCATTAAAGCTTGAATGGACTGGGCCCTGTCACCTGCCACACAGAGTCCTAAAGGATCCAACTACGTGAAGAAATGCTTACTTGTCCCCAATACATAGAGACATACATAGACATACGTATAACTTTATTTTTAACAAGTTACAGATAAATACAACTCTTTCTACTCTGTATCTGCTCAGGACAGGGCCAGGGTCAGCACTCTTTATCCCCCCACCAGCTGCTGTCACGGACTCGCCCACGCTGGGAGCTGATTGACAGATGCTGTAAGGAAGGCAGGGCAAGAAGGGGAGGCAGGGCCGCCCGGCTCCTTCCCTGGGGAAGAGAAAAGGCCCGCAGGCCCTGGGGCAGGAAAGGGCTTTTGGTAAGGTACTGGGTAAGGCTGCACAATCTACTCCCCACGAGGCACGCCGTCAATGGTTGGCCAGTGCAGGCAAGATCTACAAGGCATGCAAGCGAGACAGGAGTCTGGACAGACATGCTGAAGTTAGAGACCTTCCTAAATAGGAAGTGTAAATCATAGTCTCATGATAGATTATTAAATTTTTTGACATACTAATCTTAGGGGCACTTAGTGGATTATGTTTTAGAAATTTAATATATGTTGTATCACAAAACAACAAAAAACCGCGGTCCCTTCTGGCGCTGGCCCCGTCAGCGGGTGCGAGTGCTGCCGCTTGCACCTGCTAATGGCACCGGCCCTGCTTGCACCCGCTGCTCTGCACCGTCAGCAGGTGTGAGCGGAGCTGTCGTCTTCAACACATGGAAGCAACAGCAGGAATGGGGCTGCCAGCAGAGAGAGGACAGGGGGCCGTGGCGGGAGGGGCTGGGCAGGGGCACAGAGGATGGGCCGAGACCTGCCCCCGTGCCCACTGCAGCCTTACAATCCACAGTTCCTTTCAAGGTGCACAAATTCGTGCACTGGGCCCCTAGTTTTTAAATAAACCTTAACTTAAAAGTTGCTTTGTATTAATGTCTGATTATCTTTTTGTAATTTTTATTTTAAACTCTAACCCACTTATGATTACTGATGGACATGAATTTTTAATTTATTTTAATATGACATCTATCCCAGACCAGAACATTATGATATGAATAGTTTTGGTTGCTGATTCAAAGCATATGAGTGATTAGGCAAAAGCATAATTAAAAATATAACCCAAGAGACATCTGTTGTAACTGTGATCAAACACCCTCTGCTCAGTCCTTGGGCCTAATGCAGGACAAATGCATAAATGGGTCAAGTCCAGAGCAACTTCCCAACCATAAAATTTACCTGTGACATCGAATACCTACAACTTCTCTGGAATACTTCTGTTATGCTTTACTATAATGAATGACATCCCACTAATTCTTGGGGGTTCTCAAGTGAAAACATTTTCAACAGTCTCCTGGAGCTACCCAAAAGCACATGGCAAGCAAGATGGCACCCACATCCTGTCGGGTGGTTAGCAACATCACTAAGTTGAGAGATTATAGTCAGTGTAAACTAAGGAAATTCTTCCATGTACCTATGAACACTTACGATCAGTAATAAAAGCTACTGTTTGTTGAGCGCTGAGTCAGTGTCTGTGCTAAGTGGCTAAAGGCCCACAGTAAATCTATAGGACGCTGACAGGGTGATGATACGATGAAGATGTGACGCCACCTCCTCACACCCGGTTTACACTGACTGCTAGTCGATGCTAGAATGGGCCTGGTTTATGCTGATTGCTGGTCGATGCTGGAATGGGTCATTTTGAGAGACTGACATCTGAAGGTGGAATAACCACATCAGGATTATAGCAAAAGCAATCTGACTTCACACCTACTTTCAAAATAATAGTGTTAATTAGAAAATTACTCATGTGCCTCGTGCCAAAACCAAGATGTGCTATATACCTTTTCTCCACTACACACCAAGGACTGGCTTTACTTTTCACACAGTAAAGCTGATAAAACAGAAAGATTGCACTATGAAAAATTAATGAATAAAATTAATTTTAAAATGAAGAAACTCTATTAAAATAAATTGTATTGCCTGGCAAGAGATACACTTGGTGAGGCTTTAAGCCTTGGAGCATCCCATGCCCAAAGTGGAATGTGGCAGGGAGCTGAAGAGCTTGGCAAAGCTGTGGACAGCCTGTGGTCTAATCTCCCGTAGTTTCCATCAGCCATGATCACTCTCATGCTGGCATTCTGTATAAGCATTCACATATGTAAGAAAAAGCCCCACATAGTCAAGGCTGGAAACAGAACTTAGGTCCTTTCAGAAGTTACATAGCCCAGGGACCGTGCAGCTCAGTAGGGTTTTGTCAAGGAATAAGATAAGCATATGGGAGAGGAAAAAGCAACAGTCTGCCTAAGAAGTCAGCTGTGCATAAAGAAGGCTCCGTGCATCTAATTTATGACTCATGCATCCATTTTAAGGATAAGAAAGTTGTCACATTTGCTGCCTTAACTGAAAATAAAAAGTACGACCACTACAGTTTGGCACTCAAACCTCCAGTAATTTTCCACATTATTGAAAATCCACTTTTAATTTATTTGTAAGATAAAAAGGAAAAGAACATCCAGATATTATTCTAAAATTATGGGCCCTGTCTCGTGTGGTTTGGTGCT